TGAGCTCAACATACGGATATATATATAGGGTTGGAAAAGACGTTACAAAACCCGTAATTAATTCTGTAACGTTTGTCATAATGTATAGCCATTATTCTTATTTTAAATTCTAATTAAAGCATATTTTAATTACAAAATTTATTAGTATTCATTAAAGCAAAATTGCCTTTTCTCCAACAAAATATCCAACATTAACATTTATAATTGTTTAACTGTCTCAGTTTATATATATTTAGCTATGTTACAGTAATTATGAAAAAGACTTTCTATAGTTATAGACCCAATAACTTTAGTATATATATATATATATATATATATATATATATATATATATTCATTCAACATTGAACATTTAAGTTACATCACAAACTTAGCATAAAGACTTGAGTTACAAAAGCATCATAAGAGAATATTACAACCCTCAATCCATCTCTTACATTTCTCCTCTAGTTTTTTGTTTTGTAAAACTGTTAAAACTAAAGCTTTAATATCTTTAACATTGACACCATGATTTCTAGATTTCTGAACAAATACACACATATTTCCTCTTGCCTATGCAAGAATCAAATTATGATAAATTACACCAGCTACGCGGCGGACATGTGACTTCCCCATCTACACTAACAAGAGCATCATATATGTTTGTTTACTGTTGTGTTGATATTGCTTCCTCCGAGCTGTAAAACAACAGACAAATCGATGCAAACTTATAAACCAACTCTATTATGAATATGAACCAAAGGAATAAAAGAAAAGTTAGTTTTGAGCTGAACCTTTACTCTAATAGTCATAGCTATTTTTTAGGTTCACCAATTCACCTAACCTTATGGAGCCTCCTTTGTTATCTTTGATGGAGATTATGGGAACATTTCTTAAGGATGTCAGGTTCGGTATATGATTTGTCAGTGACCGTGTTTTGCATTCTGAAATTAAAAGTATAGCCTGCAATAGCCACAAGATAGCTCCAATTATCCATTCATGGTAGATATAAACTATTGGATAGATCATTAGAAATATCATCATGAAATCAAAACGATGCATAACTATAAAAGACAGCATATAATGTCTACAAGTTGAGAAATTTTCTTCCAGGAAATTGTCAGCTTAAATAATTTTTTAGCCGGTGTAAACTATGTTCATGACAGCATGATTAAAGATCATGAAATTACTGACAAGAAAGATAAGATCCTGGTGCATATAAAATAAAGTTATTGCGAAATGGATCAATATGAAATGCAGAGGACATTTGTGCTTAAGCTAAACTCATGCCAATTGTATGCTAACCACATAGCAAAAACAACACCCAAGTAAAAGTAAAATATGAGTAGGAATGTTATTATATAAAACCGAGGACCTTTTTTTTAATATAGAATGCAAAATGTATAATTAAACTTTTTGGAACATGAATACATAAATTTCCTATTGAGTATGACAAGTACATTACATGATTCTACCATTTAAATGTTTCCACGTACATTTTTTGGTCCTAAGATATATAAGCATTATGTGTATTTAAATGTTTTGATCCTGTGTATTGAAAAATTAATAATTCAGTTAGCATTATTCATGTTGAGAAGGAGACGACAAAAAGCACCAATTTCCATCAATTGCTTTTGAACACAAGCAAGTCTTTCACTAACATTACAAAACGAACTGCGCTTGGAAAATACAGCATAACCTTCATTTCATTCGTTTTCAACTCAACCTCAACTGTGGCAAGAAATATTTAATTCTCGTTTGTAGGAAGTGTGCATACTTCTTGCATTTAACTTTGAATTTAATAAACAAATTCTAGCTGGAAATCTCCTACGCTCATTTCTGCATACTTCTTGCATTTAACTTTGAATTTAATAAACAAATTCTAGCTGGAAATCTCCTACGCTCATTTCATCAAGTGTGCATACCTTTGTAGTGAATTTAATAAACAAATTCTAGCTGGAAATCTCCTACGCTCATTTCATCAAGTGTGCATACCTTTGTAGTTGAGCTTCCCAATAAAGTTGTTGCTAGTCTACACAGCCGTCCATAGATCTTGACATTGCTAATGCATCCTGCATAATATTTGAGCCAGTTTCCATTTTTTCCAAATCCTGCAAAAATATCAAGGGTTGTTATTTTCATTTTATATTTTTTTTCACATTCGCTGCATCCGTCTTAAAGAAATTTCTAAATTCATGCCCCCTAATGAACTTTTCAATGCCTTTACACATAGTTTAGTAATCAAAACATTAGAGGAATTCATGACAACTAAAAAGGTATGTAGTAGTATACAACTGAGACTAATACGTACTGGTAAATGGTAATATTCAAAATTTCTATCTAGAAAAGGTACCTATATTCCTTGCTTAGGCAGTCATATCTGCAATATCTAATACTACTATAAAAGTGGATTGGGATGTTAAAATGTTTCTTCCCAAAATATCCCTAACACATCCATACATACATACATTAACATACATACCTCTCAATATTAATGTGGGCACATACATACATAATACATACATACTTGATATGATACATACTATATTAAATGCAATATATACATACATATATTTTATTAATTAGACATGATGAATTCATAAACACACATAATTATATCATACTACAATAAATAGAATCAAATGGTTTTTCTTTCCAATTGAAACGCTTTTCAATTACGCCTAAAGCACTCATTATTTATCACTAATTATTGCAAAGTTAATCATATTCTCCTTTATGGTAAGTAACATACTCCATTCCTCACTACATTATAATTGCACCGTTATATCTATTTGTAACATCCAATTAAACACTGCAACTTTCCCATCAAATACTAAGCTAATATCATGTGAGAGAAACGGACAACTTCTGGGATTTCAGTTTGTTTACTTTATGACCGAGTGGAAACCGAAGGAGGAGGCTATTAATTTGATGGGAAAATTGCATTGTTTAATTGGATGTTACAAATAGATATAACGGTGCAATTATAATGTAGTGAGGAATGGAGTATGTTACTTACCATAGAGGAGTATATGATTTAGCTTTGCAATAATTAGTGATAAATAAGGAGTGCTTTAGGCGTAATTGAAAAGCGTTTCAATTGGAAAGAAAAACCATTTGATTCTATTTATTGTAGTATGATATAATTATGTGTGTTTATGAATTCATCATGTCTAATTAATTATATGTATGTATATATTGCATTTATTATAGTATGTATCATATCAAGTATGTATGTGCCCACATTAATAATGAGAGGTATGTATGTTAATGAATGTATGTATGTATGTGTTAGGGATATTTTGGGAAGAAATGTTTTAACCTCCCAACCGTCATGCGTTTTCTTTCACCTACCCATATAATGGCCTTCTCCTCCTTACATTCTTCGAACATCACTCAACAAATACCAATAATCAATAAAAAATATGGGAGTGATTTAGGCGTTTCTTGTTTGTAGCGGAATAAGCTTGTGTGGATCTGCTCACACTCACTTGAAGGCAGAAGCATCATAAACGGCAGCAACACAAACTTCATAAATAAGATCGAAACTTCCCCAGAAAAAAACCAAAAAGAAAAAAAAAGAAAAAAGGGGGAAAAACTGATAGTGAGAGAGAGCGATGATGGGGCATAAGTCAGATGTCCTAGAGGTCATCCTCAAAGAAGCTGTTGATTCGGTTGGTACCCTCAATTTTGATTTCCCAAAAATTTATTTTTTGATTTTGTGTACTCTTTTTGGGGATTTTTAAGAGAATATACCTATTGAAAAGGTATTTGAAAATCTGAGATGCAGTAGGGAGGGGCTCAGCAGCGAGGCTGCTCAGGAGAGGCTCACCATTTTCGAACACAACAAGCTCGAAGAGAAGCAGTTTTGATCTTTTTTTGGGCTAAAAATGTGGTTTTTTAATGGTTTGTTTTGATCTGAGACTTTGTCTTTTTTTGGAAGGAGAACAAGTTCTTAAAGTTCTTGGGGTTTATGTTGAACCCTCTCTCATGGGTCATGGAGGCTGCTGCTATCATGGCCATTGCCCTTGCCAGTGTGAGAATTATTACCATTTTATTGCAATTTTTTTACCTTCTTTTGGAGTGGAGATTTGGATAGAAAGACTCAAAACTTCATGGGATATCTTTTAGTTTTTATTGGATGGGTTTAATTTGCATTCTAATATTTTATTATCTGAAATCCTATGATGTTGTTAGATTGTATTAGTTTTATATGTAGTTCTTTTACATATGTTTTAGGTTCTTGAAGGTTTATTGTAATTTACCCTTTTGGATATATCTAAATGAAGAGTTAGAAAGCATGAAAAGGTTCAAATAGATCCAGTGCATAAAACAATCATTACTCTCTATAAGCAATGCCATTGTTATGAGGTAGTGTGAGAAATTAATAGGTTAATGAGTTAGAAATTGTTGTTTGATTTAATTTTAATTAATTTTAAATGTTTTGTTTACAATATTAACATTATAAATAACATTGATTATATGATTTAATAATTGCCTTTTTCTATATTTAATTGTATCTTTTCATATTCTTACGTTCTCATTCAATAGAAACATAATTATTTATTTTTTTTATTTTTTTATTAAATCTTGCGCTCAATGTTTTAAACTTATTACATAAAAAACATTGAACATAAAACAAGTGTGTCCAGTTTTTTAAACAATAAACATAGAATTTTTTAACTTTTCTGTAAGTTTTTGCTTTTTTAATCTATTAAACAATATAATCAATGTTATAAACTTATTACACAAAAAAACTTAAAACATGTAACAAATACATCCACGTGCAACGCACGTGCACTATACTAGTTTTAAGAAAAGCATAAATATGGTTAATGAAACACTAGTAAAAAACTAGGAATTGACGACGGGGAAATCCGTCACCAATACACATTGGTGACGAAAATGAATCTGTTTCTAATAAATCCGTCGTCAATACGTATTGGTGACGGGTTCCCCCATCGCCAATACTTATTGGCGATAGAATTCTTTGGCGACAGTGGTCTTTCCGTCGCCAATACTCATTAGCGACGGGGTAGTCCGTCGCCAATGTTTACAACATTGGTGACGGATTGCCCCGTCGCCAATGTACATATTTATGTAAAAAAATTAATTTTCTGGCAACCTCTCATACAATTTATATTTGCATAGTCTAATAATTTATATCCCAAATAATTTATGTTTGCATAGTCTAATAATTTGGATATATTTGTGAGTTAATCTACAATTTTGATTGTGTACGTATAAGAATAAAAGATACTGAAATTAAGCTTGTAAGTTATATTTGACATGATAAATGAGAATTGAATGCAAGCATTAAAAAATTAAAGAAAGGTTGAAGGGTTGGGAGTTATCTTTGAAAGAGTAAATGAGAGTTGAATAGGCATGAAAAAAAGTTAAATAGAGGTTTGAATGTTATATGAATAATAGATGCTATATAAACCATCACCCTCGTCTCCCATCTTGACATTCTACATGGCCTTCTATAGGAAAATCATAACAATTTGCCTCTTCACCATGGCCAAATTTTCTTTCTCCTCCTCCTTTTGCACCACAATTTATTTTTTATTCATTGTCAACAAGAACTAATTATTAGATATAGGTGCCCTGCATGCAATAATTGTATATTGTAATAGGACATATATAAATATAACATCCTTGTTCAAAGTAATAGTATGCTATTTTGGTCAGATTTATTTGGTATTTTTTAATACAGATAAAGTCCTTAGAATGATATTAGACTATTAGACTCGGATATGATCGTAATGAAGAGATCTGATTTGTCGCTAACGTATATTCTAAAATGTTCCTAGTCGATGAAGTGTTGAAATGAGACATCATCACTTTGGGAAGACTAGTATATACTCTATTTCTCCTTTGGTAGGATGATGATCCATCTCTTGGATCATTGATGTGGGACATCAAGATATAGTATGCAGGTGACTCATTAGTGAATGAGTTGACTGAAGACTCACTGAGAACATCTAGTTGGTAATTATACTTAACTCTCAAATAGAAGTTCTCAAGTGATATAATACAAAGTAGTCTCTTGACCTGAGGCATGATTACAATATTTTACATGTCAGTATAGGTGTACTTAGACTTTTACCTAACCACAGTTCTCATTGAGTTGTGCATAACAGTTTCAGTATAGGTGTACTTAGACTTTTACCTAACCACAGTTCTCATTGAGTTGTGCATAACAGTTCTTGTTGGGTGCATCCAGTTCTCATTGAGTTGTGCATAACAGTTCTTGTTGGGTGCATCCCGAGACATAAGTAGATATTGAGATGTCAAGATGAAATTCGTCTCTCCCAGTATAAGGGTTGATGTCATAAGATTGTTTGATATAACTATAGCCAGGAAATCATTGGCCAAGGTAAATAAGATAAACTGAGTGTCAGTTTGATCTTAAAGGTTATGAGTTTAATATTAACAAATACTAATCAAGCTATTAGGGTTTGACAGTTTATCATACCTAGGCTCAATAGTTTGACATTGTTTGATGAAGAGACCGGACTGTACAATGTTATCACTGAGTGGTCCTGATAAAATTGTGTAAGCATCTTGTAGACATTTATCATAACTTATACTCGGGTAATCTTCATGTGTAGCTAGCACCTCTGTTGTACTTATGGATATGATCCACTGTCAAGTCTTAAGTTGGGCCCTAAAGTCACACCAAGCGTGTACTTGAATCCTATGAAATACATTTATAGAGTTAAATGCGTATGATTGATACACATATATTATTTTTAACGGATATACATAAACAGTTATATGTATCGGTAAAATCAGAATGATATGTGCTTAAGAAATGAATTCCGATATTTTCTCCATAAAGTTAACTTTTAGTCAACTAGTTGATTTTTTGGTCAGCAGTTGACTTTTGGTCAACTCGTTGTTTTTTTTTGTCATATGATGACTTATTAGTTAATGATTGGAAAATTACGCAATATCGTATTTATGAAACACTATATTGATGTGGTATTTGCATTTATGAAATACGCACTTCATTATACATTAATTAATGAGTCATGAGATGAGTTATTAATGTAGTATGGTTTGGGAACATGGTTTTAGCACATAGTTTTGATTCTTCATGACTCTT